CTCATTTTTAAGGACAGTTAAGGTTATCCTTAAATACAAACGAGCCTTTTCTGATTTGCCTTATGGACTTCTGGGCCATCATATTGCTGTGGTAGGGCAGGGAAAAAGAGGCTGGGGATTGGGTGGAGAGCTTGGAATGAATATTTTGCAAGCAGTCCCCACCCCAATTTGATGTTGAGTAATGCTCCAGCAGCTATACTAGAGGGTGAGGGGGAAAGGGGCCCCTCTTTACTGGGTGACTCACCTTTCCCCTCCGCAGGTTTTGAGCATGCCCATGTGGCTGCACAGCCTGGCTGCAGTAGAGGCAACTGCAGCCCCAGCTTTGGTCCTCTGCTTGTGGCATGGAGAGCACTACGAAAAGGCACTACATTCAACTGAAAAAAAAAAAAAAAACTTGGACCCATTTAAGATTTTTTTTTCAACCGAAGAAAGGCAGTAGCCCAAGTCAAAGCAGCCAAATATTTTCAGTTTAAAATAATTCTACCAGAGGAGAAAAGAGAGATGATCAAATCCAAAGCAACTCTGGAAACTATCCACAGGGATTTTTTTCTTTCTTTTATTTTTATATACCACTCTGTCTGTTAAAAGTTTGTGTCAGCTAGTTCAAACCTACTTGTTTTCTTTTTCTTCCTCTCTTGTATGGAGTCTGATAACTTTAAGCTCAATGTTCTTTGGAACAGCCAGGGAATATTTTAAGTGAAAAACAGATATGTAAGTGGACCCTGGACCCAGGCAAAGCTATAATTATTCCAGGTCATTCTGAAGCACAGTGCCAGAGAGTCTCCAAACAAGCCTGTTACCAGTCTGATCCACCTTTCAGTCCAGAAGCATTTTTTGTTTTGAACATTAGAGTTCACCTCATTGCAGAGACCAGAGGAAGGACTTTACACGGCATGGGCTGCAGGATGGCTGCAGATAGGGGAACATGCATTCCAGACTGATTTTCCTGCCGTTTATTCAGGTGTCGCGAATTAGAGGAGTTATTTAGTGTAACCTAACTACTTTGATCATGAACTGTGGAAAATAAAAGTCACTTCAGCAAGGTCAATTATAGCTCTCTGTCCCAATTTACAAAACCGGTTTGAAGATATGCATTTACAATGCTTGGATTAATGCTGAGATTCATTCATTTGTAACATTTTGACTGCTTAGCAGGAAAATACATATAAAGCCATGCTAATGGTATTTTAATACCGGTCATTGGATAACGCTGTAACTCCTGCCTAGAGTAACATACAGTATCATCTATTCTGGAGCAGTTCACTTGACATTACTTTCTTAAGCCAGCACAAACATTGACTAGGTCAGTGATGGCAACTGAAAAAAAAAAAAAAGTAATTACTGAAAAGCTCTATCTGCCTTTTTGTTTTCCCATCACATTTGACTAAAAGTATTCACTTTCAGGCTCCATTTCTGGGAAGGAACT